CGCCAGCAGTTGTCGTCGCACTGATATTGTGTGAAACGGCGGATAACTATTTCAACTATTATTGAAGACATAAAAACATATTTGATAGCGAAATAAGAAGCGAATTTTGGGCTAACAGTTGATAATGTATTAGAAGTGCTTAATGTTATTGTATAGTATTGTAACCGTTGTATTGAGTGTTATCTGTAATTCACACACAAATCCAAAGCAAACCAAAAGTCTGCAAAAAAGTCTTTATTGAGAGATGTTTTGGGCGCAGACCTAATACACGAATCAAATGAATCTGAAAAGTTTTGCAGTCTCTGCACTTCAAGAGCCTCTCGATTCACTGCAAACACCGAATCCATTGCTTGCCATCAGTCGAGTCGACTCTATGAGCGGAGACCTCTTTTTCGCACCACTACTACCACCACAGCTCAGTCTACAGGAGATGAGATGGTCTACAAAGAATCAAAGAATATTCTGCCATAAGAATGCACTAAACATTGCCATAACTGAGCAAAACAGTAGAGTGTGTGCATTACTGGCACTACTAGTGGTGTAATAGTGAAAGTGTAGAGCACTGGCAGAGCCGGGGAACTGCATCTGGAAGACAGACTCTCACACATAAATCGATCCAATCCTTAGACAACTACTTTTAGCGCATTTTATTCAATACATTATTACTTACAATATCTGTAGTTTAAATCGAAACCCGTTTTCACATTATTCTTCTCAAAGAGTAATTTTTATCAAAACAGACACTACTATTGCCCGAGTCTTTCATTGAAGTCCATTCCCAGTCAACACTTACAACACTTCATCTATAAATACTTTTTGTCTCACTATTTATATTGAAAACACAACTTCTTATTAATTTTATACCAAAATTAAAACAATAACTCTTTGCGATACTTATTATCCTTCTTCTTGTGGCACTTTAGGAGCAGATGTTGTGCGCAATGATTGAGAATATGGGACACAAATTAATGATAGCACCGCTTCTTAATGTCTTATTTCAATAAATGAATGGATAAGTCAATAATAATGGCACAAATGATATCGGAATCATTTTCCATGCATTCAATTCATATAATAAATGATTTGTAAAAAAGGAAGATTCAAATAATAGATTAATATATTTGTCCTCAAAATATAAAAATCAAATTCATTGCTTTCTTCTCTCAATTAACAGGATTTGCCTTTCAGTTCAAAATTCAATAAAATATAAGCTGAAAATGAGTAGCGATTCAAAAGAATATAATAGTTTGCTTGCATTTCGGATATTTCTATCCTTTTTGCGCGATTTTTGTGTATTATTGTCGATTGAATTGGCTTTTAATGCAATAGAGTGTATAATACCTTTTGATGGTATGTTTGAAATCATTTTTCAAAAAAGCATTATTGCAGTCAAGCTTTTGCTGCGACAGAGAAAAAGAAATATATTTTATTACTAAAATGTTCATTAAGAAAATGGTTTATTGCATCACATATTGTATCCGTTATTAACTGCTCTTTAAACTAAAAATAAACTGAGAAAAAAGTAACAAATAATTAACAACACTTTCGCCTAAAAACTATAATTTAAAATCTTATGTGAAAAGTTTTTTTGGTTTTAACGACAAAACTAATTAATCATAATTTAAAATTATTTTGATTTTTAATTTTAATGTTTCAAAAAAATTAATATAAAACTCAAACGCTTTTATTGTTAGCAATTTTAAATACAAATTTCTGACAAACATATATAAAATTTGTATAAATAAGTTATAGTTTTGCGGATCCAAAACTAATATTGCATTTGATATTTCATTTGCATAGATATGAAACGATTGAAGTGAGAAAAATTAATATATTGTTCAAATTGCTGTTCACTGTTTCTCAATAACAATTCTTATCTGTTTTGAAAAATGACATAAACATTGAATTTTATAAAAATAAACTACATTTTCAAACCAAATAAATTAACTTCAGATAACTTTTCAGTGCATTAAATGTAACAAAGAATAAATAAAGAAATCCGCGAATAACTCAATGGTATTCACACACACAAGAGAGAGAGAGAGAGAGAGAGAGAGAGAGAGAGAGAGATTATGCCGATTCACTAGAAACTAGACTACAATTAAAGGAACATATTTTGCAATTCAAATGTAAAAGCAATTTGATTGTGAATGAAATGCTCTAAAGAAAGACTACTTTCTTCTTTCGTTCAAATTGTTTGAATTAATTCTTCTTTTATTATCATTAGTTTCGCTTAAAATATAATATTAGCCAATATTTATATTGCATTCATTCTGTCTATGCGTGTATAATATGCATAATAACAGGGAATTAATCAAAATTAGATCATTTCTCAATTTATAAATTCTTTATTCATTTTTAAAAACATTATTTATTAACCTAATTATCTATGAATCAAATAAAGTTTAAGGCAATTATGTTAAACATTCAATCCATATATCAATAATCATTAAATTTATTGTACAATCTAATAACATATTAATTTTCGTCATCAAATTACATGATCCCCTATATTATACTGTAATGAAAATGTGTTAATGTGTTTACACTATACGTCCAATTTAATGACAATGTTTATATAAAATATAGGCATTTAATTATAACAAATATCAGTAATGTATATATTTCTTATGTTTTTATGAACAATTTCTCAGACTCTAAATTCACTTTCCTATTCTATAAGTTTGTATATAATGTGCATGCTTAAAATATTTAAATTAAAAAACAATGCTAAAAGCACCTGGATTTATTTTTACAATATGTATTAGTTTAGGAATAATATACTGTAGCTTTTATTTTCAAAACCAAGCATTAAAGTGAATGATTAGACATTTATAGGTTTTTGTGATTTACTATTAAAGTAATTATTTGTCTCTAAAATATATGTTTCATACTTGCTTTTTTGGGATCATAAATAATAGTTAATTGTTTAAATAATAATTTTAGAACTTTTGAATAATTAGAAAAAATAATTCATCTTGTTATTTAAATGTTCTAAATTAAAGCAATAAATAAATTTGTGTTTAATTATCGATTTTTATAAACATATTTATTGGATGCGCTGTTAATGAAGATAATTGCAAATGTCTTTCAGAGTCTGAAATTCAGACATTTTTAATATAAACAATAAATTCAATTCAATCCCGGCTTTAAATAATTAAACTTCAATTTAATAATACGGATATTTGTATAGATTTAATAGCATTTATGGTCATTATCTGAAGACATGAATAGCTTTCGACTTAGACTTTAAAGTGTTTTTTATTTGCCCAAAAAACGACATTAAATGGATTTTTGTATTTTTAAGCTTTGGTTTATAGTTATTGAATATATTGTCCAAATAGGAAATGGAGCAAAAAAGATGATTTGTTTTTATACTTTTATGTTTTAATGCCTTTTGTTTTGCAGAGGCTTTCAAATGTATTCGCTGTAAATCTTAAAAATATTTTTCATCCGTTTTATTAAACAAAATGTACGAAAACTACTCAAAGAATCGCTCAATCCTTTTAAAAATACATTTTTCTTTATATCAAATGTCTTTTGTTGTGAAATTTAATTAAATTTGATTGTGATTTTAAACCTATGAAAAGTTTATTAAATTATAAATTTAAATAATTTTTAAGCAAATTATGATTCCTTACGAAACATAGAGAAAGAAACCCTTTTGTATCGATTCATAAAAGCAATTATAATTGAAGCGTTAAATTCAGGATTTTATTCAAACAATTTCTATATTAAATTAAAATCCATTTGTCTTTTGTAATAAATTAAATTTTGTTTCAAATCTCTATCTGAATAAATGGTATTTATATATATATTAATAAAATATATCATGAAAAATGATTTAAGATTTTATTTTTAATTTTTTTTTGTAACAATTTTTTGTGATATAACACATAAAATGGAATAAATATTTGTATAAAATTGTGTGTTTGAAGAATGGTTTTGCAGACGTTTATAAGACATAACAGATCTCTTCAGTAAAATCTTTTTCACAAATACCCAGATATGAGAGACTGTTGTGAACATACAATCTATGGTAGACTCCACTCCCCAACCATTCATACATCACATCTTACACAGAGCTGACGATCGATTGATTTTCAGTTTATAATAATAATAACTTATTCTACAAAAGTTTTTGTCTTTTTTATTTTGTAAAATATGTTTTTCTTTTAAATTATTTTTCTAAAAATACTTTTAACGCAGAATATTCTTTACACTTTGATTATTACATATACTGTTTTAAGTATTTATATTAATTAATGTAATAAATGAACAAAATTTGTAAACTATAATAAATTCTACTCTCGTTTGGAGTTAAGTGAAAACATTGGTCGGTGTCTAAAGAGACGACAGAAATGATAGTGAATTAGTGGGTAAGGGATGAGAGAGAGAGAGAGAGAGAGAGAGAGAGAGAGAAGCGGGAGTGACAATTATATGATGATATGACCTAAAATGCGAGTCATAATCATCAGCCATAATAACATGTATTGTTTTCTTTTGTATATAAAATATTATGAATATAATAGATATAATAATTGATAGTTTATTATTATTATTATTATTAATACAAAGAGGTAATGAAGTATTTCATTCATTTTAGTTAAACACGAATTAATTTGTTTATAAAAACGCACATAAATGTGTGCATTAAATAAATTCAATCTATTAATAAATTTATATCAAAAAATCTTTTATTCAATTTATTATTAATCCATAGATATTTGAATTATAAAATATCTTTAAAACAAATATTTCCAGAATATAAAAAGCCATTCAACTATAGATCTATTATCTTAATCAGATTCGACCACAAAATTAATGATAATACTAATTAAAATTATAAACATATTTAAACAAAATAAATAAATTAAAATTAAGGCAATTATTGGCAATTGATTGAACGCAAGTCTAAATATATAAATACAAAGAATTTGCTTTAAGTATAGACTGAAAGGAACGTATCATATAATGACTAAATAAAAACATAACAAATTGTTGGCCAAAAAACAGAGCAAAAATTAAACCAAAAAAAACAATGACTTTTACAACAGATATAGTTTTAAGGCAAAGGCTTTTGTTTCTGAATGAATGTAAAGTATGAATAGACGAGACTTCCAATCATCGATATATTGAGACCAATAAAGTTGGTCCACGAGAAGACGTAATCGCCTCCGATATACATCCCTATGTATGTGACGAATATATTCTGTGCATAAATGTATAGTTTGTGGATAATTAGTGTTATAGTTATGTCAACGCCATAGCAATACTCAGTCAGCCATACCTTCAAACAGCCGACGATTGTTGTGGTGAGCGCTGAGTTGAATGCAGTGCACAATATAGTGGAATACATCAGAATAAAGCCCATAACACATGATGTTATAAATGATACTAAAAATCCCGCATCAAACCAATCGTTGAATTCAGTTATCGTACGGTTTATATCACCGGTTGTCCACGAAATCAATAGCAATGGTATTATCATAAACAGAGAGTTGTAATATAGGAGACCATATTTTCCCAATTCCTAGAAATAGATATGTATTTCTATTATAACTTTTTCTCTATAAATCATTTTAATGTAAATACATGTGTTTGGAAGTATAGGTATAAATGTATTTCGTGTAATTTATGTCTAAATTAATTGCATGTTTAAAATGAAATTCTAAAACTTATTGATTAAATATAATTTCGTTAAAATGGGTGTAAATTAAGCTCAAAAAAGCAGTAAAAATTTTTAGTGTCGTTCGGTATAAATGGATATTTTAATAGATATACACTTTTAGCGCAAGAGATTGCGACCGAAATAGATATCTCGGAAAACAATAATAATCATAAAAATGGTGTCATTAATGACGTACTCTGGAGTCGAGTTTCTGTTTCATATACACGCCATTGGCAGCCGTGAAGAAGTCGTTGCTTAAGACAAACGCATAACCGCTCGCATCGAAGGCTAAGTCATTGCTTTAAATGATAGTAAAAAAGAGAAATAAAATTTTTTATATTATTATTTGATTAGAAAGTGTGAGGTATAGGGAGGACAGGGATGCAAACCTGGCTGCAATCATAGCGCCGCCAACCATAGCCACGATAGTCATTATGATTGTATTGTTTTGAACGACACTATCAGTTAACGTAAGAGAAAGTAAAAAAAACAAAACACTTTTATTACAAACTTTTCATATGAGAGATAATGAATGGAAATTTTGACAAATTGTAGGAAACACTAAAAATTGCTAATAAAATGTGATAAGAGATTAGATATGAAAACAATTGTTGGCTCACTTGAGGATATAGTACTCTCCGATGAGAGTCATTAAAATAGTAAATCTCCGCAAAACGGTGAACATTGGAAGACTCAGGTGTTTAGTGCCGCCTAAACCGCACACCAGGTTCCCGATGTAGAGCACTGGCAGCGGCCATATCTATACAACCGATCCATCGATTAAAACATTATAAAAACATACATTATTTCCAAATCAATGCATTATTTATAACACAAACACACATTCGGTTGGATTTATAGCGTTTTAAATGAAATAAAAATACCGAATAATCGTGTAATAAAACATTTTAATGTTTAAATAGTAAAATAATGTAAAATTGGCGAAAATATTGTTGCAATAAATCATTGCATACATACTTTTAGTAGAGTATCTTTCGTATAGTTGGGATAATTTATAACGTTAAGTGATTTCCCTATACTTAATATGATTATTGTGGCCAACATTTGCCCCATTCCTAGCATATGATACGATGGGAATCTGCAATACAAGTTACATGTACTGTTAGTTTATTTTGTATTCATAATATATAACTTGTTTATTGTTATAATTGTTTGCAAATCATAGCGAAAAGCGTAACATTTTATAAGAAATGACATTTTTCAAAATTCACACTAAAAATTGTGTTTTAATTAATTTAATATTTGTGTTATAAATCTGAACGTCAAATCATTAGAGATGTTATATATAATTGAATTACAAATAAACAATGTTTTATAGAGCATAAGAGCATTCACTCAGTCTTTGCAAACATTGTAATGAATATTCTTGTGTTTGGTGTAAAGAATCGGCTAATAATTTATATTATACTAAATTCTACCAAAACTTATATAACAAAGTCACATAAAAACAATGCAAACAATAACATTAAGAAAACAATTATTATTCATTAAATTATAATAAATTTAATTACAGCAATATATTGCACTGTTTGGTGAACAGCCATCAGCACCCGACACAACACCGACCATTACACCCGATGTCTAAACGCAACAATATTAAAGAGTTGCAACTTTTGTAAATTTTCATTTCCAGATCCCATTCCCCTAACATATAAAAATTTATATATAGATTCCCTTCCCGTACAGTCGTCTCAAATTCCCGGTCGATAACACGGGCTGTCATTTTACGGTCATATTTAGTTAATTTACCGGTATACGTTTAACAAATATATAGCAAATAAATAATACAATATAATATAAAGCGTTATATGAAATGGTGTTAAAAAGGGGCCATAATTGATGTTCATTTGATTATAAGTTACAGTATAGTCTATAACTGTAACTGTTATGCGAGTATTTGTTAGTAAGAAAGTAAGCGATCGTATAAATTGGTTGCAATGATAATTCAATTCCGTTTGTGTCCATCATTTCAAACAACAATACTTTGGAGGCTATTATATGATTGGCAATAAAATCGCTCACTTTTTCTAGTATTTGCTTATATTTTACATTTTCATGTTATGCCAAATATTGATATAAAACACTATTCAGTAATGAGTTATTTTAAATCACACTATTTTTATCAACAAAATAATTTATAACGATTGCGATAATTATGTACACATTTTAATGGTTTTGTGTTTAACACGAAATGTGTAATAAAACATATTTTAAAAGCATTTAATGTATAGTAATTTATAGATAATTATACAATATTTCTAATTAAACCACTCTTTTCTCGTATTTAATTAATTTTTAAAAAAATCTATTAAATATTATATAATAAATAAATAAATATATAAACTGACAAAAGTATTTACAAAATAATATTAATTGCAAACACAAACAGAATTTAAGAAATTGAAGATTTATGTGATTGAAAGGGAAGGGATGGGAAGGGAATGTCCATTATATGAACTATCAATTAATGATTGATTGAATGCATACTGCAATCAAATACTTCATATACTTATAACAACTGTAATAACTATAAATCAAATGACAGGTCATTGAAAATCAATTAAAGACCATTTGTTTGACAACTGATGGATAGACAATAGGATCAGACATAAGACATACATTGAATGTTTGGGTTGAGTTGAAACCGCATTCATATAACAGGGATTTAAATGCAATAATAGTGGACATTAAGACATGGATGTGATGGAAGTGATAGTGAGACAGACCTATAGTTCGTGAGCACTATTTTGTTGATAACGATTATGAGGAGCGAAGAGACGGCATAGAAGAGCGCCGATAGGATCCGCTTCATAGCCAACGATCGCTGGTCTTCGCGGGTGGTCTGCGTTACTAAGCCATCGGTGGTCTTCATCTTCACGTACACCACATCTGAATGACGGCTCGTATTGTCATTGAATGCATTATTGCCGGTCACTGTTGTCGTCGCGGTTGCTGTGGTTGTGGGCGAAGACATTGATTCAGTGACACAGCATTATCTCAATGACAGAGACGACGAAATCGATGACTGTTTTGATTGAAACCCAATTAAAATGATATCCAAAGAGTGGAGAGAAAGC